CTTTGTGTGGCAACATCCGACACGTGGTGAGTCGTATTGCGTCAGCGCTTCAAATTTAACTGATACATATTGCCGACATCCACGTGTTCTAATTCTGTTTGCTGTGTGAGCTGTTATTGGGATACAACACGGCTTTGAATTAGAACACTAACGAATATTGAACACTACTTAATTATGTTTTAATTAACAGCTATTAGGCTTTTAATTAAGCAAATTTCAATTTTTGTACAAAGCTTTGAACGATCTGTGTGTGTCCAATTCAAGTTGTGTCGGAATTAGTTTTCATGTGTCGAAATCCAACATCTCAACTTAATCATCTATTAATTTATTTACGACTTGAAATCAGCGAATACAAGTATACTTAAAGGATTCCTAATATATTCACAGACGTATTTAAAAGTCTCAAACCATAATATTCTTCCTATAAAAACAGTTATTCACTATTTGGTAGAGCCATGTCAACTGTCAAATTTGACATATTTTTCGATGATCTCACCACGTGGCATGCATTGTTTCTCTTTGGATCTCAATATTTTCCCGCTAGATCAGGATGGAATTCTAATTTCGGAGGTTCATATATTATTTCGATCCACCAAGACCACTTCTTCTATCCAACATCGTTATTTGAGCCTTTGAGGCAAAAAATGAACTTCTTAAAGCCATAAAATACATAGGCTAACTTGCTCAGTTTCTATAAAGTACCTAACCACTTGGAAGTTTTATGCCTGCACCTTTCACTCAACAATTAAACTTATATAAAGTATTAGTTAGTTAAAAATTTGTCTCTTAAGTTGACCGCAATGAACTAAACTTCATTATGTAATCATTAGGCAGGGTTTTCCATCATGCGACACTAAACACGCAATTCAGAGTTCAGACGATCAGAACTACATCACGTGTGAGCTATCGTGCTACTGAATTGAATACCTAGCGGGATGATTCCCGCTAGGTATTCAATCTAGCGGGATGATCAATGAACTAACATTGATCATCCAGAGTCGAACAATCACTCATAACAGAGTCAAACTAATCACTCGTATACTTAGTGCAAGAGAATGAATAATTATGTTGTTTCTAATCAAATGAACGAAACCTTTTTCTCTTTCTGATCTAACGAACGAAAACTTCTGATCAAACAAACGAAAACAAACTTTTGAAAATAATTCAGAAATCGTAACGTCTATTGAATTCTAATACGGATCATTAATTTTAGCATCGTATTTCCAAAAATCAAGTATTGCATTTCTTTTAATTGAAAAACATTCTTTTACATCGAAAACATGGTGTGACGAATTCGTCGCACAGAAAATAAAAGCTTCTACCGAGAGTAATTACATGTTTAGAGTCTAGGCCGCAAGTGTGACGGTTAGCGTCACTTGTTGTGAATTCGTTTGAACGACGTTCGATCGACTAGGCGCGTCGTTACTGCCAGTACAAACACAAAGACCGCATGATTGGAGTAAGCAGTTCAGATTTTTTTAACTTTTGAAACATAATTCAGTGCGTTAAGGGTTAGAAGAGTGATTTCCATTCTTATATATAAACAGGATTAATAAAATACCTATCAAATCCATCCAATGCCATTCAATTTGTGATGTATGAATGACAGTTTTACTTTCATTCCTATGATGCTCATTTTTACCAATTGAAGCTGTAGAATTAAATTAAAACAAAATACAAATAATTCGAAGCTAAAATTTATTGAATTAAATGTAATTCTTTAATAAATGAAATGGTACATGCTGTTGATTTAAATTATATTAAAAAAATGTTTAGTTAGAAACTTGATTCGAAAATTCAAATTAGAAATCAAATTTTATTAAAATAACTTTTATTATTCAATACAGCTTATGGTACATGTCTAAGCTCTGAATGATAATATATTGCAATAATTTCCGCTTCAACAACGAACGTTTTCTAAAAGACACGAGACGTTCAAAAACTCTTGATGGGAGACGAAATCATTTAGAATCTGAGGCGAAGTTAATTATACAGACAATATCGATAAAATAGGCAAAAAACATGAAAAAATGTATGTCTGGACGCGTATCAATTGGTATTTATAATTTGAAACAAATTTCCATCATTTAAATGTCAGTATGGAATGTGGATCAAGTCTAATTATTGTGAAATCGAACTTGACATGACCAAAAGCTATGCCTGTGACGCCGCCATGTCAGATATGATCGTGGAAACACGATGTGAATGTACGCCTTGGTAAAGTTGAAGTTTATCTCATACTTTTGTGTGATATCGAAAACTTTGTTGGTATTGTCCAATCGTGAGAATTTTTTACGCTTCTGGATGTGTTTTTTTTATTTTAGAACGTATGCATTGCAAAAATTTGTCTACTACCCTACAGATAGACGACTAGTTGACTTGATTGAGGCGTTGCCAACACAGGATTGGATGTCGAACCACGCACGATTTCGGAAGCGCAGAAGTTCCTAATGAGCTCAGTTTACCAATTTTCATTGCAGTGGAAGGTGGTGAAACTGTAACGTGGTAGTAGGGTTGGTTTTTCGATACGTTTTCTTATATTGACATGAGAATATATTACCTATACAGAATTCCACACTGCACTAGATGGCCAAGACCTAGTGTTTTTGCAGTATTTCAACAAGCAAATGTATGACGTCACCATTTCAACCATCAATGAATGCATGGAACTAAAACAAAGCTTAATATAAAGGAAAAACTAGAGAAGTGACGGAATTACCTACGATGTCGGAATATACTGCGTTTACCCTATTTGTTTAATACTCTCAAACAGGATAATAAGGGACAGTTTTGAGCGATTTTTGTTGATAACTTCTTACCATGAAACATTTCAATAACAATTTTAGGCTTATTTTAAAGCTCTTTATGAGGGCTATCTTATGGCATCTCCAAAAAAATTCCATATGCTATTTGTAGGGTGCCAGACCGTGCCCAGAGGCAATATAAAAGCCTCCTGAATTACCCCTGGGCAGTGGTGGGCACAGTTCCGCTAATCCGCTAACCGCTAATTAGCAAAGCTAACTTTTTCCTTATCGGATTAGCTGTTCAGCTAACTTTGAAAACCTTTAGCGGACCAATTAGCTTCCGCTAAATTTAGTTCCGCTAACTGGAAGTCCGCTAAAAATGTTTAAAATCTCTGATTTAATGCTAAGTATCGTAAGCCATGTACCACGCCCACACCTATACTGCAGTCCTTTGGTGGACGCAATGCTGGCAGGCATCACGAAAAGGTTTGGGTCCCTCCTAGAAGACAAGGAGTGCAAGCTGGCAGCGGCCTTCCACCCTAAGTTTCGCCTGTCCTGGCTGGAAAAGCATAATCACAGCCATCTCAGCAGGGTACAGAAGGCCATGGAGACCGCCGTGGAGACAGCCCTGAGGGAGACCCTTGAGGAGGGCAGCAGCACCACCAGCAATGACAAGGATGGGGAAAATGACTTCTTCAGCAGCATTACTCAGCCCATGGAGTGCAGGAGGAGCCACATAGTTGCATCCAGTAATCTACTTTCATATCTCCTGTAAATGGCTCCATCGCGTAAGTCTCGTAGCAGTTCTCCCTTTCTTGGCTATAACTGTTGACTGATTTCTACTTTCAGTGCACCATTCTGAAAAAAATTAGATTAGGATCAGTTTGTTACTGAAAAACCTAGAAACCTAGTGGGAAGCAAAAAACCTAGATCTAGGTTTTTTCTGCTTCGGAGCGCCACAGTGCCTGCGGAGTGCTGGCTCTAAATGCCCAAGGATTTGCTGAAAAACCACCATGTAAAAATTTGTAGTAGGTAGACTATAGTGACTGCATTTAAAAAACTGTTCAAGGGCAATTTAAACCTTCAATATGCCAAATTTTTTAAAATGCATACAAATAAAAGTTTTGTGTAATAGGTACTAGGACTTCTTACTTTCTGGAACTGGTTTCTGTAATTTTAATTTCTGGATCTTTCAAGTTTCAATGCTTCCCAACTCCCAAGTTCCCATGATGAAAGGGTTAATGATGTTGATGTGCCACTGTGCCCCATGCCAAGAAGTGATCGGAGAATGGAGATTATCTAAAAATTTTGTGTTGTACCAAAAACTTTGTTGGCAACTTGGTACTTGGTAGGCCTATTATTGAAATTGTGAGACTTTTCTGTAATAGTTGTCATAATTTATTTTTTTATTTGAGAAGATATTCATTGTAAAAATTGTTCAATTAAAGAAAAGCAACTAGGCTACCTAGTAAAGAACATTGAGAATGTTATCATGATTCATGGAGATCAACATGCAGTTGGTAAATCTATCCAACCAATTTATTAGCTGCTAGATTACCTCTAAATGGATTATATCCTCCTTCAGTCCTTCTAATTGTTAATGAAACTGTACAATTGAGCCATGACATTACAAATGTATCAAATATTGGTCACTTCAGAACTGCAAGATTTAATTTTTAGTAGGCAAATTCCAATCTAGCATGTAAATAAGTATTTAACAAGATTATTCAAGATATGTGTTTGTAAGATCTTCTGATGACATAGATTTTTATGCTGATGTGTCTCCAAAGTCAAAGATCTTTATATGTAGCCCACTACCTGCATTCTGACCATCAATGCCAATAGTCTTCAATGTAAACAATTTCATAAACAAAAGTGAACCACATCTTTGTAGTGCATTAAGTGCAATCAAAACAGTTTTGTGGTTAGTGGTTATTGAACCCTAAAAGTTGTACTTCTCTTTAGGTTAATATGGTTTTCATTAATTAGCGGTGAGGCCAGTGCAGCAGCTGCCAAGTGGCAAGTCACATCAATTGTAGTGCACAACAGAGCTGGGAGATTTAACATTTGTATAAAGTAAATAATTTTCAAGTTGCAGGTTTCAATAATAAAAAAACGGGTCTCATTCAAACTTGCTACTGAATATAAACTTGTTACAAAAGTAAGAGCATAAAAGTATTAGACTATTAGATAATTCTGAAATCAGCAATTGTTGATGTGCATGTGAATCTCATGAACTTTCTTTATCTCACAGGTTTTATATATGCCTATAAAATGGCTGTCATGCAGGATAGAATAGCAAATGATTTAACTCAGGATTACCTTGCTGATGCTAATGAAGCCCTTTCTTTCAATTTAGGTAAGTTTGGTATTGCTTCAAATCTTTAACAATTTTCTACAATTCTATGGCAGTTATATTTTAAAAGCATGATTTTTATAATTATAACGACATTGAAAGCCCAGAGAAGTAGAATATGGTGAGTTTTTTTGTAGGAGTGCCCTTATTATTCAGGGAAAAGTAAAGACAGCCCCATGTGATGCACCAGTTTTTTTTGTTACTCTCTTATTAGGTTGTTTTGCTTTCTCACTCTCAGTGCTAATGCAATTATGAGCTAATGTAATTCTGTGATTTATACTGATTTTTTAAAAACATGCAAAACATTTTATGATGTTGTATTCAAATAAATTATTTTGATTCTTCATCATTGCAAATTAAAGATATTTTATGGAAAAATTATATAGTAAGCTGTAGGCATTTTTATAACTTGGCTCCATTTGTGAGTGTTACTGAAACTTTTCACAAAGCTATTGTGCAAGTGTCATTGTATTCCAAGCCAATTATTGGTTGTCCAGTATGTAATGTCTTTGGCTGATTGAATGATAGCATCAACATGTTGCAAATTTATGCTATTCAACAGTCATGGCCTCTAACACACCACACGGAAGCCTTTGTTTATAGAAGTTCACTTTTGTTTATATTTTCTTTTCATAACTAAGATCTGTATAATTTTTTGTGAAGCTGCCTTTAAATTTTAACTAATATATACTTGTTTAATTTATATTTGTCATATTATTATAAACTTACTTTGTGCTGGAATCCTAGTAACATTCATTATAAATGAATAGAAATTTGATATACTCCTTTTAATCTCTTAACTTCTGTGATTAATTTTAATAAATTTAGAATTCAATTGTTAGCACAAAGTTTTTTTTCCAGTTCGGACTCCTCAAGACATGGAAGATGGGGAGTTTTTCAGTCCAGAGATGACACATCAAGTATATGGAGATGGGTGAGAAATTTGTTTTTATTTAGATTTTTTATTTAAAAGATCAATCTACCACACTTGAGAATCAAGAAATGAGAATTTGTTAGAAAAGTAGAGCTCATACACTAAATCTATGCTTTCTCTGCCTTACTTAAGCAATGGAAAATGCAATGCAAATAGTTTTCCTGAATTTGATTAACTTGATATTGTGTTATCTTATAGTTAACTTTGTAATTGCTTCTTGTAAGTCACATAATATTGCAGAGTCTTGCTGAGTCTTATTTTCCTGTGTTGTCTTGCATCTTTTTCTGGCTCTATAGTTTGAGCAACAATAAATTGTTATAGAGCAACAATATTGGGTTGTAATTTTCTTAAATTATTTGTTGTTTGCTTAGTTATCCTCTGTTGTTGTGAATGTACAGAAAGTTATTGTACCTGAATATTTAGCTTATCTCTATCTTCATGTATTATTTTCCTCAGAGTAATGAATGTTAATGTGATGTTGCAGTAGTATTAAGGAGCGTCCTTGATGTGCAGTGAGCAGATATTTGGGTACAAGGACCTGGAGGTGCGGCTGTACATCACAGCCGGACGACTGAACATGTACTGCGATGTTGAGTACAGCAGCATTGTGAAGAAGAGCAAGTCTGTTGCTCTGGAGGTCTGTGAAATCCTGTTGCTTTGGTCCTCTTGATGCATGAATTTAAAGAATTATTTTTATGCTTGGAAATCAGCTTGTTGCATGAATTCAAGGAACTAGTATCTATAACTCAGTGATAATAGGTCGTTTTCATCAAAAAAGCTCATTATTTAATCTGGTCTTGTAAGCATTACTGATCTCTGTGAATTGTAGGCACAAAAATTATTTTATTTCATATCTTAGCCGTGAAATACATACTCCCATCATACCTTCTCTGACTTAATAAATTGTATTTCCCTGTGCAGCCTGACGATATTGTTGGCCCCCTAACAAAACTGGTCCCCACCAACTGCATCCTGGACAACCAAGACACATTCTTGGCTCTGCTCAAGAAAGAGTCAACCTTCAAGCCGTATGGGGAGCTGATCAGTGTAATAACCCCACATAATAATGGTATGAAGGCATTATGACCACAGCTTCTAGCAATATCCTTATTGTGACCACTTCATTTCTACTGGCTGCTAGAATGCTTTTTGTAAATGATTCCAGTAGTCCCAAGAACTATTGCGATTCAACTGTGAATTTCAATAAACTTGAAGAATTTGATTGAAGCAACTTGTTATGTTTTTCCTGGGTGTTGTACTTTTGGCTGCCGTAGTTTCCAATAATAATGTAACTGCGACTACTGTTTTTGTTTGTAGGCTGGAGTGCTTGTGTCCCAGGTTCAAGCATTCCAGCCTATCTGGGTTTACCTATCACACCTTCTGTCTCAGATTCGTTTCAATTTATGAAACGTTCTATTGTGTAGAAAAATGTGTTGTATGCTTCTTGTACCTTCCAGATGCCAATCAGAGGTTTGAGGTCTACAGCTGCAATGCAGACACTCCAGGATTCCTTGAATACTTCGAACGCCTCCAAATGTTTACCATGTTCTATGTTGATGCTGCCTCATACATTGACACTTCTGATCATAAGTGGAACTATTTCATAGCGTAAGTAATTTTTAGATGAGGCTTACAAAATTTTTTTGTAGGTTATCACTTGTATGTTACTGATTTGTATTGCATTTGATACAATTTTTTACTGATATGTAAAATGAAAACGGATGATGCTTGATACATGAGAATTTACTTGTCAGAAAATTTCTCTACTATCAGTGCAACTATGTTGTTGAGAACTGTTCCTCTTTTATTATTATTACTGCTGTTAATACTGAAATTTCAAATAGGTACCGTAAAATGGGGTAACTTAGACCGGCGGGGTAACTTAGACCACTTTTCGTTTTTTTAACAAAAACCCCCACAACTCAGAAACTATTTGACGTAGAAAAATTTTGTCAATGGGCATTAAAGGCCTAATACTGAGGCTACATGACACGATAGAAAGATTTGAAAAGTTTGCATATCTAATAGGTTAAAAAATTAAAAATGTGACCCATGAAAAAAAGCTATTATATAAAGCCTGTCAGAGTACCCCCTCCAATTTTTTTTATTTTTTGGTAAAATAACTCCAGGTTTTGATGCATTGTAGTAGAACTCTTCAAGTTACATATGCAAATGACGAATTTCAGGAAAGTGTCATAGTTTGCAAATGGGGGGCCCCGCCCCCAAATGGGGTAACTTAGACCACCTAATGTCAGCCCTGACGGGGTAACATAGACCGGCTTGGAAGTTAATATAAAATTACCATATATAACATATTTTATGTTTGACAGCCTATATATGTTTTTTCTTTATGTTTCAGACTCTACAGAGTCTTATATATGGTAATTTTAACTTAATTTCCAAGCCAGTCAATATTACCCCATCAGGGCTGCCATTAGGTAGTCACATTTCCCCCATTATGGGGCGGCACCCCCCATTTGCAAACTATGACACTTTCCTCAAGTTTGTCATTTGCATATGTAACTAGAAGAGTTCTACTACAATGCACCAAAACCTGGAGTTATTTGGAGTTATTTTACCAAAAAAATATAATTGATTTTACCACCCGGTCTAAGTTACCCCAAGAGCTGGGGTAACAAAGACCATCACTTTTTTTAAAATTACATAAAGACTATGAGAGGCAGGAGCCAGCAATTTATGGTGAGTAAAGCTATAGTATAGACTTGTATTTTGCATGTTTCAATTCAAGTTTAATTTAGCTAGTAAAAAAATGGCATCATTTATAAAAAAAAGTGGTCTAAGTTACCCCATTTTACGGTAGGTAGCTTTTAAAATCCTGAATAATTTTATCACTAAAAAAATGACCCAAACCATAAAAATTCATTATCAATGTCATTATAGCACAATTTCTTTTTGCTTCAGAAATTTGTAATAATAATAATAATTGATCTTGTTCAATGTCTGTATTTAAATCTTCTGCAGTTTTCAACATTTTCAGAGCTTTGAATCACAATTGAATCACTATTTCTCTATCCTGTTGTAATGAAGTTATGTAATATTTACTTTGTTTTCAGTTACGAACAATATCAGAGCTCTGATGGTAACCCTATGTACGCTTTCGTGGGCTTCACGACCGTGTACGAATTCTATGGTTACCCCGAGCACGTGCGGCCACGCATCTCGCAAATGCTCGTCCTTCCTCCCTTCCAGAAGAAGGGAATTGCTTCAGGGATGCTGCAAGCGATCTACAACAAGTACATCGATGACCCCAAAGTGCTCACTGTGTCAGGTGCAGTATCATCCCTTAGAGGTTTCAATGTGTCAGGTGTTGTTGTTGTTTATTGCGTTCGTCATGCTCGCCGGGGGGGAGGCTCAGGTGGTGGCCGGGAGGCAGGCACCAGAAGAGGTGGGAGATGGGCAAAGGCAGGGACCAGGAGGGTGGCTAGTAATGCTGCTGCCTCCATGGGGCTGTCCCACAATGAGGAGACGCTGAGGGACATGGGGAAGACGGGGCAGGCGAAGAGGTGCTGGACCGATTGGAGGGGATCCCCACACTCCAGGTAGGCGGAGATAGGGGAGCGTTCGATCCTAGCGGAGTAGGACGCCTGGGAGCTGCAGTATCCCGAGCGGAGCTGGGATAGCGCCGAACGGTAGGGGCGCGAGAGTGAGGCCTCAGCCGATGCAATCGGCGGTGGAGGGGCAGCGAGGACGGCGTCAGTCGTCGCAACGCGGGAGGCGATCTCCCTGCGGAGGGACCGCTTGTCCTCTCCGTAGGCACCGGCGGGCAAGAAACCATTTGCCAAGGTGTATGGTGTAGGTATATAGATGCTTTTTGGCCCGAATTTATCTGGTAATTAATAAATTTGGTTCAAGCAAATTTAATATTCAAGAAAAGGAGCAATTGTCTCGGAAATTACAGGTATATGTAAGAGATAAACTTGAATTACAAGGTACGTACATTTATTTTCAGCCACTCTTTTTCATGGAGTAAATGGTGCACAGCGCACAATCTAATTTCCTGACTGCCTATTCAAGTGTCATCTGTACCAAGCGCCAAATGCTTTAAATTATCAAGTAACGTAGTGTAGTTCTGTATGAGTGATCAAAAATATAGCTCAGTACTAACTGCAGTGAGTGACCGCGCATTTTCTCGTCGACGAAAACATGAAGTCACGGACAAACGGAGAGACACACACACACGGACGGACGGACGGAAATGACAATCACAATAGGGCATTTTTTCCTTAAATGAGAAAATGCGCTAAAAAGATCAATCTTGCCCTTAAAAGAGAAATTCTTACCTCTGTAGGTATCACAAGACACATCTGCATTTGTTTGATGTTGTGTTTTTTTGGGGGGGAGGGGGGGGGGGGTTTGTCATGAAATACTTCTAATCTAATCTTGAGTGGTGAGCCTTGAGTAACTACATAATTGTCACTTGTTTCTGAAAAAATTATTTACTTCCTTCCTTCACAGTTGAGGATCCTTCAGCAATATTTGGAAGCATGCGACTGCGGGTTGACTGCCTCAATGCCCTAACACGTCTCAAGGTCTTCTCTGTGGAGAAGCTCAAAAAGGGCATCACCAAAGAGCATTACGATGAAGCAAAGACTAAACTAAAGCTTAATAGAGTAAGTTTTTACCATATAATGACTAGAGAAACTTGTCTTCTTGAATGGTCGTTAAGGTATTGGCTGTATCAAGCCTATAGCGATGTGTTGTGACACACTGAAGGCTTCATGTTTGCCATATCAACAATTAGTAAATGTTAACTGACTATTTTATGCACTTTAGGTTAGTAGCTTTACTAACCCTAAATAAATAAAATATGTAGTGACATGTTGCAGTGGTAGATCGCGGGGTAATTGGCCATTTGGGTCCTAGTGAAACATTTTATGACATTTTGCTGTAAGTTGCTGATGCTACCAGCAATGCAGTCTAAACTCACTCTGATATCCTTCAAAGATGTTTTTTTTTTATGTGAAATTTAAGATCACTTTAAAAGACTTTCCGACAAAGAGACAATGGTGTGAGAACTTTCTTTCATTTCCTTCTTCAGTTCATAACTACCATTTCCTTGCTCAGACCACAACTACCATTTCCTTGCTCAGACCATAACTACCATTTCCTTGCTCAGACCATAACTACCATTTCCTTGCTCAGACCACAACTACCATTTCCTTGCTCAGACCACATCTACCATTTTCTTGCTCAGACCATAACTACCATTTCCTTGCTCAGACCATAACTACCATTTCCTTGCTCAGACCATAACTACCATTTCAGGACAACACGCTGCGCGTCTTCAACGTGTTGCTGTTCCGTGCCACTGACCGCAACAATAAGGAAGACTACAAAAACTTCCGCCTCTTCATCAAGAATCAACTGTACGCGCCTTTCAGAGTAAGTTAAGCTCCTGTGGACCATTTGATTTCTGTGTTGAACCGACTTAAAAGAGGAACCACATAAATTAGACTTTTTCTCATTGCAGCTTTTTTCAATATTATGGCTAAATCTGTCCTCAGTTTTTAGGGAATTAACTTGCTGCCAACTACATATACAAAAAAAAAAAAGCTCGGTACTCACTGCAGTGAGTGACAGAGAGCGCATTTTCTTGTCGACGAAAACATGAAGTCACGGAAGGACAGACGGACATGGCGAGCACAATAGTGCATTTTTTCATAAATGAGAAAATGCGCTAAAGAGTAGTTTTTGACTGAATTCAATGCTTTTCTATAGTATTCAGGTACGGAAAAATAAAGTTTGTGATTAGCAAGATAGAGGGCGCTTACTTCTTTTAATGCTGGATGCATTCATTTAAATTACTTTGAAATTGAAGCACATTGAAGAAAATTGCATTGAATTTATATTGTGTGCTTTTCCCAATGGCAAACTATGCCTTTGTCTAAGATATAATATTCTAAACAAAGCGATCGTGATATACATTTTCGATGAACTTCGAATGAGAGGAAGCTGTTCTATCCCCCCCTGTAAAAAAATTGATGATTGTAATGCATGAGGAGTGACGACGTATCATTTAATTAATGATTTAAAAAATTATTGAAAGGTAAATCAAAATGCTTCTGTGCAGCGTCAAGACAGAGAGCTAGCAAAACTGGAAAAATACAATCTATCCAAAGAAGAGATCAGCGAAACTCTGGCCTTTGTTCCTAAGGACAAAAGACCTGACATCATCCACCAGGAGTACCTTGACTTGGAATCCAAACTCTCAATGATTGTCGAGAAGTTGCCTCCACTTTCTGATGAAGAACGAAAGCTCCTCGGTCGGTGAAGGAAATTTAATTTGAATTAATTTTCCTTCAAAAGGCTCGTTCCCTGTGACTAAATGCCTTCAACTTGAGCTTACCGAATGTGAAGGCCTAATGCTTCATAAAAATTATTATTGAATATGATTAAGCAATGTTCAAACGCACTTTAGTTCAAACGCAACTTTACTCCACTTAATGCCTGAAAATGAAACTGCACGACAAGAAATTATTTTCCCACTTTTTTGTGTTGATTATATTTTAAGGAATGAAAGAAAAATGGGGAACATTTCTAGTTCCAAATGTGAGGTATTTTTTTGCATGCTATTTATTGCTATGTAAGTCATGGGGTGACATGCTTCAGAATATGTTTGAGTTCAGCATGAGACTTTTTACACTTCTGGCTATGAAAATGAAGATTATTGATCGGAAATTGTATTGTACCTAAGCATTAAGTGCATGGTTTTCATGAATAAATAGCACTATCAATACCATGTAGTATTTTTTGTGTCACCAGGCGCCAGTATTACCCATGGATTGTCTATCAACTGTCGCGCCGGACATTGTGTCGTAGCTTGCGTTTTTCAGTCAGGGTCTATCATCCTCGAATGATTAATGATTTTTATTTCAGTCTCATTTGCTTATCATTAGTGGGTTATTATTGAAGGTTACTACTGGATTCATATTTAGATCCGTGTCCCATAAATACGCCAGTTCTGTTGTAGACAAACATCTAAACAACTGAAGAAATTTTGAAATCTAGAAATCCATGAAGCTATTGAACCCGCGATGCAGTAGATTTTAATGACCTGTTTGAGTAAGTTTGTTAGAAATTTTTGTTTTTGATAACTTGGAAAAAAATGTGTATGTCGTTGTGAGATATTGTAGACCGCAGAGCGCAGCGACCAACACTTCTCGCAGCTTAGCTAGACATTTGTTGCCATAAATTAATATTGAATTAAAAATGATGGGAATCTAAGGTGGTTACAGAATGGGCTTATCACTTCACTTGAACATTATGGGATAAACTTACAATTCTAATAATATAAACCGTATTGACCTTTCAAAAGAATTTGTTACACAAAGAGAGTTTAAAATTTATTTATTTATTTTTGCTTTATGTCCATTATGTTTTATAGCTTGAAAGTATTGGAACAAAACACCTCTGGGTTCCTTAACTTAAAATTTAAGCTTGACGCTTTATATGATGCGTAGTTTTGCGTGCTATACTTTGGGCAGAAGTTATGTGCACAGTCTAATATATATTTTTGCATTCAACTTGCGATTTCATAAAAAAACTGAAAAAAGCGCACATAGCATGATTAATGTCCAATCTGATTACTCGGAAATTTAATTCACTGCCTTTATTCTTATAGAATCAAATTGCTTAACAATTTAAAGCTAGGGAACATGAAAACGTTTCTGTCTATCAATTGTCATCTTGACGGATGTTGACAACGGCTGATGTATCGGTAGACAAAGGCTGACAACGGCTGATGTATCGGTAGACAAAGGCTGACAACGGCTGATGTATCGGTAGACAAAGGTTGACAACGGCTGATGTATCGGTAGACAAAGGTTGACAACGGCTGATGTATCGGTAGACAAAGGCTGACAACGTCTACTTCATCTGTGTGTCGTGCATGAGCAAGAAAACTGGTGCATCGCAAGTAACCTGAAATGTCGTGTCAGCTGCGCTGGTGAGAAGTATGGTCGCTGCAGGGGAAGTGGGATACCCTCCGGTGCTCTGAGTTTATCGCATGAAATTATCATTTTCCCATAACTTGCCCTGCTATTTGCTGCAGAAATTCTCTTCGTCTGCTCTGAAATAGAGTAGCTTTTATAGATTCCAAAATTGGTTCGCCAGTCACTTTTTCGAAAGTTCAACTCTTTAACTATTTTGAAATTCTGTCTCTGGTCAAGCATTGGGCTAAGACCGTTTGTATTGCTCAAAACAAAAATTTTTATATTAATGGTCTTTAGGTTTTTGACTTTTTACAATTAAAAATCAAGTTTATTGGCATGTTTGAAAGTTTTCCTTATCATAGTCATTCCATTCAAGTTTTTTTCTGGCAATCTTTCTGCCTTAATATGTTGTACTCAATCCCAAGGATACGGGCGACTTGATTGCTCGATAGCATTTGAGTGCTGAACGGATTCATCATAATGCTCGTATTCTTCGTACATTTGTGCAATGTTTAGTTCGAGGAATAGGTTAAATCATGGAAAAGTTTAATCAATTGTTAAATTCATTGTAAAAAAGAATAATTTTGTTCTTTTCTTTCTGCGTCAGTTCTCACGATTACCTAACGTATGCACCATTAAATTTATTATAGCTCATTTAATATTATATCATCTTTATTCAGCGTGATCAAAAACATGGAAAATTTAAGCAGTCGTGATTTGTGCATATTATGTGATGTTTGCTTTACATCCCGAGAAATGTTACATCGTCATCACATCGCTTGTCACACCGTTGAAGAATTGTCTAGACTTCTTCTCGAGTCTCCGGTACATGTCCACAATAAGTCCACAATCAATTCTGAATCGTGCAATGGCTGGCAACATGCCGGTATCAAACGAAAGAGTTCTATGTATGACTCAGACGAGCAGAATGTTCTCATAAAACGTGTTAAAATTGTAGAGGATGATACGGAGGTATGTCAAAACTCATCAGCAGTGCCGCAGTGTAGCACCAATGAAACTTTTGAGCAACTGTTTCCAATCGACCTCAGCATCGGAAAGAAAATTCTAACTGGGACCAAAACCTTCACGAGTGAAAACATTTTTACATTTCAAGAATCTCCAATACTTGCCGGAAAAGACTTGAGATCGATCTTAGAAGAAAATAACTCTTCGAGTAACAGCCATGAAGAACTGATGAACTGTGATGACACTGATCCGAACTCTGGTTCTGTCTTCACCGAAGTTAACGGTAAGGCTCATGGTTTTGGATCGATGTCCCCAGAACTTTGCCAGATGAAATCTAAGCCGGAAAATTTTCATAGAAAATGTAATTCTTACAACGAAAATTCTATTGAAACTTTTGAAATGAAGCGCCAAGTATCTGAGCATTCATGCGGAGAAGAAAACGTAAACCATACGAATGTGATCAGTTACTGGACACAAGAATCAGCTGGCAAACAGAATGGATCAGAGTCTCCAAGAACAACCCGTCTACCTGCGCCTCAGACAATCATGAGTCAAATGATGAGTGGCTTGAGTGATGAAGACGAGTGGCCAGAGCTCGGTGATGATATTACACTCATTGATGATGAGCATTTACTCAGCAGTTTGGGTGAGTTATTCCTTGTTATTTGTATTATTCATTCTGATACGTATATTACTCTCTACTTCAGTACACCGGAAATTTCTTGCCCCTATGCCACTATCGAAATAACGATAAATAATGATTTCGCTAGCCATCAGATATTACGTTCCATGTAATTTATGATGTCCCTGGGCTTTTCCTGAAACGGTTTCTTGAGGCGCTACACGTGTGACAGCAATATCTGTTACTTGCTTTCATAATTATCGGTATTCAAAACGCTCTGAGTATTCATTTTTAATCGCCAAACTTTCGGCTCAACTTCGATAGCATGGCATATGATTTTCATGGGTTGTTTCGTATCCTAATTTTTGATAAACGTCGCATTGCGAATGGTATTTTTCATCTTTAATTTTCTACTCGTTTCATTTCCAGACTTGTTCCCAAGCCTCCTGGACGACTTTGTGATCGAACTTTCCACGCTTGAAGAGTCGGGAGCTTTGACGGTACGAAACGCGGAGGAAGCTCCCGAGGTTCCGAGGAAACTAGAACCCAGGGGAGAAAGTGTTGCTCCTCCAGCATCCAGTGTAAAATGTGTTAACGTCCCAGCATCTAGCAAAGAAATTGTTCTCTTGCCAGCATCCATAGAAGAAATCGTTTCTCTTCCAGCGTCTAGTGAAAAATGTGTTCATCTGCCAGCATCCAGCAAAGAAGGTGTTCCTTTGCCAGCATCCAATTATAAAATTGTTTCTCTTCCAGCATCCGGTGAAAAAGGTGTTCACTTGCCAGCATCCAGCGAAGAAATTGTTTCTCTTCCAGCATCTATTGAAGAAAATGCTACCTTTCCAGCATCCAGCGAAGAAGAAGCACCCTTACTGGCATCCAGTGAAAAAATTGCTTCTCTTCCAGCATCCAATGAAGAAGGTGTTCTCTTGTCAGCTTCCAGCGAAGAAGGTATTCCTATTCCAGGATCCAGTGAAAGTGTTTCCTTGCCAGCATCCAGCGAAGAACATCCTTTACTGGAATTTAAAAAAATTCTTCCATCATCAGCCTGTCATCCAACGCCAACAATTTGTGTCCATAATCACGAAAAATCTTCAAATTACGTTTCGCATCCTAACGGCAAAAATGTTTCCGTAGATAGCAGCGATATCAGTGGATGCTCAAAAGCGAATCGAACTATTTTTGGAGAGGCGTTGCTTTCAAAATCCATTGTTACCTGCAATACGTGCAGAAACATTGAGAGCTACTACCAAGTAACAAATATCGAAATTTCAAATAATAAATCTGAATCTCCGTTTGCAGTCGTAAATGAAAGTAATGTATGTGAATTTGGTGCATGTAAATCAAAAAGTTCTCACGAGAACAGAAATGTCACCTTAATACGTGAAAGCTCGGTGAAAGCGGCTCAAAATACTGTAAGTTTTTTCGGAGGGAAAACGATTTTCAGACTTGATAGAAACTTAATTACCACGTGCGCTCCAACTACGAAGGAGGTGCTACCGCGTCTCCCATCTTACTCGTCTCCTCTTGTGGATAACTTGACTGCAAGTAATGATACGACACTTGATTTTATAACCCCTGAGCAAAATGCAAGTAATGAAACGAACCTTGGTTTTACAACTCCTAAGCAAAATGCAAGTAATGAAACGAACCTTAGTTTTATACCTCCTGAGCAAAAAAACATCTCAGAAAATCGTTGCGGAATCAAAAACTCATCGTTTACTATGCCTGTTAATAGCTTTTCAAAAGGTTCACGCGTTCGCAAGGAGAAACGGAAAGTATTCTCATCGCACATAGTGTTGGAAAAAACACCGTGGCCTTGCTCAAGAACACGATCTGGTAGACGGGTCAAAGCAGCCGGATGTTCCGATTTCATTTATTCTACTGTAGATAATTCGAAATCTGATTGTGCTCAATGGGATTTTAATTCTAATGGAAGAAACGGCGAAATTTCCAAGTCAGTTTTGTTTAAAGAAGATTCACATCGTGAAACTAAATCTATAGTTTTGGTGCGCTCAGATGACGGAAAAATCCAGCTCAAGAAAACCAAGCTTTGGTGTAGCTCTGAAGAAGCAAGCAGCAAGTCTGAGTTGCCTTCAACGTATATTGAAGAGCCTATGAAAACTACAGGTAATAACTCTAAGATTGCGGGCAAAAGAAGAGCTAATAAAATCGATGTTCGCAGAAACACAACACGCATTTCTCGGGTCTTCAATGTTGAGTGCAGCTATTGCGGCCACCAACTATCATCAGAGGTACTGAGAACTATCAGCAAGCATGATCTTGGTCATCATAAAGTGTGCATCTCGTGCAAGAAGGGACATTATCTGAAACGTTCAGCTATTCTAGACCACGAGTCTGTTCCAAAAGTTGGTTCTCTACAACGTGCAGGCCAATGCTCTATTTGTGACACTTACGTCACTAATGTTCGAAGACACATTGAACGCGTGCATGAGCAACAGAGAGTTCAATGTGAAGTGTGCCACGCATCGGTCAAGAAAGACTGCCTGAAGTCACATAAAAATCGTAAACATGGGCCAGCGTCTCCCGTTGAATGTGACCATTGCACTAAGCTGTTCAAAAGTGCCTCGAGTTTACGGGAGCATCTAACCAGAGTTCGCAGGAAAATCAAGACCGTTCTTGAATATATATGCGATTAATAAACTGTACAACCTTGTAATGATGTTGTCTTTGGTTCGTTAAAAAATTTATTTATTTAGTTTTATAGAGAAATACCCCAAGCAAAATTTAATTTCTCTGTTGGAAAACCGCCGTATTACTGTCGTCCAGGCTAGAGCCAGACGAGAGGATCGTAGAGACTGCACCAAGAGATAAACAAATAACACGATCAGACAGAAATCGAAATGATTAAGACCTCAAAATAAATCCGTATTACAATAATCCATTTAAACGACACCTTACGAAACTGCACTTGTAACAGGGAATAGCGCACGGCAGCCAAATAGCTCAGTCAGCATTGCAGGGACAAGAGAAACAAAGAGCTCCAACTTGACAGGCTAGGTCTTACGAAAGGTCAAATGGCCAGCAGTGGTGCGGATAACAACCTTACAAACGTTAATAGTTCTACATTTTTTACTTTTTCTTTCGATTGAGTTCGTCAGTCTATTTCTGCTACTAAGTGTTGAGAAATTATGGGTGAAAAAGCCGTTCAAAAAAATTGATGAATCCATAAGGAAAATAAATTACTAAGTTTCGTGCGAAGAACTACCGTTTACTAAGGTTCGGTTACAACTTTATTTTTCTTGAATTTTTTCTTCGGAGGTGCGCTCTTCTGTTCCTCAGATTTCCTCTTTTTGGTATCGTTTTCGGATGACCTCTCTTTTTTAACTCCATTCTTGAATGGTTGTTTCTCCAATTTACTCGTTTCTCCTCCAGATCCTTCCTTCTTTGGAGTTTGTTTCTCCAACTTACCTGCTTTTGCTCCAGTCATTTCATTCTTGCGGGCTCGGTCCTTTACTTCCATCATTTTTGTTCCAGTTTCCGTGGTCTTAGCTTTCTTGTTCTTGTTTGTTTTCTTTTTTCCGACTCTCTTCTGTTCCGATGCTAGAATCTTCTCCGTGAGGTCCTTCCCTGGGGCGATAGAAAATATGTTTCCACCGCCGGCGTACTTGACGGACTCAAGAAGACCAGTTCTTTCCTTCCTGGGTTTGTGAAAGATGCCCTTCACGGGAGCACTAAGAGGCGTTCGCGAGAAATTGAACGCTGGGGGGAACTTCAGGCCAAAGTTCTTCGATAACTGGAAATGAAACGTCAATTAAATCTATGCTTCCGTGTACCTACCTTTATTTCAGAGAAGTTAAGCAATTCAATAAAAATTTGGCACTGAATATGCAATAAATGTAACAAGAGAACTTCATTAAATAATATAGGGATGACAATCAATACTTTCTCCTACTCTTTCAACTTACAGACTGCTTAACCTGATCTGTTTTGTCGTCAATTTTAACTTCGCTGCAATTGAAATTAATTACTCAATAAAGGTAGCGTAAAAATAATTCATACAGCAGAACTCGAAGAAATTATTTTGACACAACTAAAATACCTCCTTGAGATCAATTGTGTGCCAATATATATTTACTGATTCAGGTTAGGGAATTGTGTTATGAACGGAATTAAATATGAGGTAATTAATTGCATGTTAAGTGATGGGATTAATTCCTACAGTACAACTCGCAAAAATCATTTTGATGCAAGTAACATACCTCCTTGAGATCAATTGTGTGCCGGTCGTATATGTACTGGGGCTTGAGGACCACGTAGGAGGTGAGGTAATTCCTGTAGGCGGCCGTGCCCATCGTCTGCAGGGCCTTGTCCTCGGCCACGATTCCTTCCACCTGCGCCAGACCAATGATATATAATCATCGTATTGGAGACATTATTATAGAGTCGTAGGATACATAATAATAATATTCGAATGAGCTTGTAATATAGTACAGGCTATACTGAGAGAAGGTAATTTTGTGCCTATAATGACGCTCTTGATAGGCCTATGGAATACAAGAGTCCTGTTGGAAACATTATTATTGAGTGGGACGAGCTATAATAATATTAGAATGAGCTTATGATACAGTATTTTTAAGAGTCGGAAATTATGCCCCTATGATAAATCTCTTAATGATGTACAATTGCTGGAATAGAGACATCAACTACCCGGTACATGAAAAAATATAACTCAGTACTCACTGCAGTGAGTGACAGAGAGCGCATTTTCTGGTCGACGAAAACTTGAGGTCACGGACGGACGGACGGACGGACAGACAGACGGACATGGCGAGCACAATAGTGCATTTTTTTTTCCATAAATGAGAAAATACGCCAAAAAGGCCTTGAAGACTGATTAAAATTTCGGTTACTAAATAAACCAACCCTCTTCCATGTTTTCAAACTGACTTTGGTCTGCACATCGTAGTCGAGGTCGTACATGTCGACGCCCTGGAACTGATGGACGTCGATGCCTTCCTTCTTGAGCTCCTGAAGGATACCGAGCTCCTCCCTCCTCACGAACAGCACCGCCTCTCCTCTCTCCCCCACACGGCGGGCAGCACGACCCACACGGTGGATGTATTCCCTGAGAAGTCAACGTTTTAATGTCTTGATCGTCTGTGGATGCATTAGTCGTCGTAAATAACATTCGGATCTAATGGTAGGATGTGCAATGTGCATATCGCTGTCACTGACAAAACCAAGCACTTCCGTCCCTGACAAGTCATTGTTTTAATCTTTCGTTCATGGGTACATTATTTGTGTTAAATTCTGCTGGCATCTACAGATAGAATCGCAGTTCCAACAGTGATGCTGCCTTGTGGTTACGAGAAATTGAAAGTGTATTAAAAACATCTGACTTTTCGTCTACGGATACATTTGCAGTTTCCAATGTTATCTGCATCTAAATTCCTGATAGAGAATTTGCTTTCAGTAGTCGAATGATTAATATGTGAAATTTTACTTATTTAAATTCAATGAGTGGCACAACCTAATTGGATAAACGCCAAAAACAATCCAGCATAGCGTGCCTCGTTACGGTGCAATTAGTAAAAAGTATTATCAACACATTGAAAAACTTCATCAAATTAATGAAAAACTTCATCAAATCACACCTACTTCAGACGAAGTAGGTGTGAACTTCAACACCATTGGGGAATGGGGAGACATTAGCCACCGTAATTATTTCGGTCAACATGTGGGTAACTTTGCTTAATAATAAATGACATGCAATGTTAGCAAAAGGTCAAGATAAAAAAAGAAATCGTATGAATGACCCACTGAGTACACAAACTTACTATTAAAAATCAAAGAAAATGCAAAGAAAAATAATCACATTTTCACTTTAAAAATTCTCGATTGAACTAGTAGTAGTAATATAATGGTTTGCTAGCGCTTCAGCTATCGGCGGAAGGGGTGGAATTTCTCAGATGTCCAGCCGCTGAAGCTGGCTCGAAGGAAGCAGCGTTAGCATCTCAAAGAGACGAAGTGACAAGGAGGGACAGGTGAAAAGCAACAGAAACGAAGACACTCGAACAAGAGGTCGCTTACACGGGATGTCGGCCGCCCGCACGAGAGAGACAGAGAAGGGAAATGTAAGGAATCCTACCTACATAATAACTTAATGTGAGGAATCCTACCTACGTAATAACTTAATGAAATATAACTCAGTACTTACTGCAGTGAGTGACAGAGAGCGCATTTTCTCGTCGACGAAAACTCGAGGTCACGGACAGACGGACGGACAGACAGACAGACAGATGGACGGACAGACATGGCGAGCACAATAGTGCATTTTTTCCATAAATGAGAAAATGAGCTAATAAGGAATCCTACCTACATATTAACTTAACCCCACAAGTGAGACCTGCAGTCAGACACCGCGAGCTCAGCGGTGGGGCACTCAGGAACAATCCCCCAAAGAGCGCGAGATCCCATAGGACTTCTGACGAGCAGACACGCGCCAGAAGTCCCCCCTGAGGGGTCTCGATTGAATTAGGATGAATTTTCATAGCCAAGTATTTGCTCTTAACTATTCAGCTGATTGGCGTTTAAAGTGGTCGAACGGCATCAAGATAAAATAAATAAACTGACTGTATGCTCTGAGGAGGGTCGAACTGGACAATTAAGTCTACGGCGGGAATATCCCAGCCTCGCGCCGCGACGTCCGTGCACAGCAGTGCACCGCACGACGCCGCCACGAACTCCTGGTAGTTCTGGTACCTGATCTGCTGCCCCTGTCGGCCCTGTACAAATGTGTGGCTATGATAATAATTATTGTGGATATGAAGATATGGATCTGTAAAATATTGTGACTATGATAATGATTATTGAATGAATATGAATCTATGCTTCAGCCGCGTAATTGGTGGTTCATTTAAAAATTGTTGCTCCAAAAAAATGTGGATCTGGCAATGTAGAGGCAATAGCCAGATTGTTTACCCTTTTGAAGGTAAAGAATCTGGTACTACGTTAGAAATGTGTGACTGTAGTAGTAATAATGGTTGAACATTTGAAACCTACATTCAAGGCCTGTGCCCTGCAAAAATGATTGGCTATAATAAGGCTGCATGTACATTTGAAGCTTATGATTTAGATCAGTGCAAAGTGAATGTTCGAGCCCAAGAAAAAATGAGAAAGTTTATTTCATTTTAATAATATATTAATTATAATTTATGCAGCTACCCATAATTTTAAATATGCAGCTATATATCCGATTTGTACAATGAAAAAGTTATGAAAGGAACACACAGAGAAATGTTCATGCGACTCAAATGATCAGAACAATACCTGGATGGCTAGAACAGTTATGCCCAGAAGACCAAGAAGTCGTTTATAAAAATTGACTCCATCACACGTATTAATAAAAACCATTGTTTTCTTGTCAGTGTTCTCTGAGAGGAGTTTGTAGAGAACAATGAAGCGCTGGAAAATACAGCATTCCAGGTAAGCTGAAAATAAATACATTGTTAGAAATAGTTTTTCTTCCAATGAGATAACTGAGTTGTGTGAGATTCAATGCGAATGAATAATATAGATATGCAATGATTATTGATAGCAAGAAGTTAATATCAAAACTAGTGAACCACTTGAGTATGAATTGATATCAAGTGCAATAATTAATTAAATACTAACTGTGTGTTAACTTATCAGCCGCTGTTTTGTGATCTTCTGCTGCTAGTTTCAAAGTAGACTTATCTCCAGTAGATGCTCCCGTCTTTGATTGCATGCTCAGGTCAACAATCTTGAAGTTTTCTCGCAGAATTTTTGATGACAGATCTTCCAGTTTCTTAGATTTGGTTGCCGAAAACAACATGGTCACATAAGGGGTTTCTGAAACAAAAAATTGACAAATTAGCTTTGCATGTGTAACTGTTACCTAACATAAAGATATTCCTAACAGAATATATTAGTCCATGTAAACTGTATCCAATTAAATTGAAGCCAAAATTTGCAATCAAACTTGTCAAATTTGTACAATTAAAAACCCATTAAAAACATGAGCTGATGATTTCTGAACAAAAAAATGATAATATCACGCATTGCCAGTATTACTTTCACAGTATAACTCATTACCTACTAGCAAATTGAAAAACTTCAATTTGTAATAAAAATTTTCGATACAGTGTCCTACTTGAGTAGGAATATATATACCTTGGGCCATGAAGAATAAATGAAGGCAAACATTTTTTTACATTAAAGAAAAATAAAAATCAATATGATCTGTCAAAAAAGTAAGTAAAACGTATAAGAGCACAAACTTCTTTTCCCCTTGATGTGATGCATGATGGTCTTCATGTCCTCCTCAAACCTGATGTCCATCATTCTGTCTGCTTCATCAATGACAAGAACTTTGACAGATGACAGCAAGAAGTCGCTCGTGTGCTTGATGTGATCAACCAGCCGACCCGGAGTAGCAAGCACTATGTTTACGCCTGGCAATAAATTCATTTAAATTGAACTTATAACAGAAATAATTATGTTGTCAGATAAGGTGCATAGGAAATAAGCGGGACTATTAATAAACACAATCGATATCAAATTAATGCAATATACAGTAAAAGATGGTTAATTATGTATAAAGTCATATTTTCAACCTTCACTTTGTGAAAATTATTTATACTGCAACAAAATCAGTTCATTCTCACCAGATTTTAATGTTTCACGCTCTGTGCTAATTTTGACACCACCAATGAAGGCAGTTTGTTTCAAGCCGTGAGGTGCGGCAAGCTTCTCTAGCACCGAGCTTGTTTGCATGATCAGCTCACGAGTTGGTGATAAGATAACACAGCTTATACCTACAAAATAATTATTAATTATTCACAAATGTGCAATTATATTAAATGAAAACCCTGTTCATGGCTTGCCTCTTCATTTTATTAAAAGGCCACACCTCAGCAAATAATGAAGTGGCTAAACTAGAAGATTATGCTTCATATATCAAAAGAAAGAGATGATTTAAGACAATATAATGAATTGGTAGGGCTGACTTAGTCTACAGAGATCTTGCAAACCTACAACAGACATTAAGGCATATTACATGGACAAACCTTTGCAGTCTTTAACCATTTCAACTGAAGGAATAAGGAAAGCAAGAGTCTTGCCAGATCCTGCTCTTGCTGTGCCCCATACATCTTGCTTGGCCAAAAGATATGGGATGCTCTCCTTCTGAACATTTGTCATGGTCTTGAAACCAAAGCTTTCAATGCCTTCCATTGTTTTGAGGGAGACATGAGGCCTTAAGGACTCAAAGGTGTCACCAACATCAGGAACTGAAACAAAATCAAGGGATAATTAAGCACAAGGAATATAATTAAGCACAAGGAATAAAGGGAAATTTTGAACACATGTTGCAAATATGCATTGACTGTCATAACTGCCAAGTGTCAATAGACTTGGCTGATATTTTTATTATCAAACCATAAAAAGACAAGTACACCAAATTCAATGCCATTGATAAAAAAAATATAACTCAGTATTCACTGCAGTGAGTGACAGGTAGCGCATTTTCTGGTAGACAAAAACGTGAAGTCAAGGACAGACAGACAGACAGACAGATGGACATGGTGAGCACAACAGTGTATTTTTTGCATAAATGATAAAATGCACTAAAAATAGGTGAAACTTTGACCATGAACACATTACCTATAGGTATATAAATATGAGAATTCTCTTAAAACATGAATAAGTTCATATAACTTCCATTTTGAATTCTACAAAGTCACCCATTATACTCATTGGATTGCAAGACCAAAAACTGGGTCTCCCAGACAACTTCATCAATATTTTTGGATTGAACAAGTAACCCAGCTGGATATTTTTATTTACATTACTCTATGAATCACTGTTAGATCAAATTATAGTTTAAAATGAAAATTTTTTAGAAGAAATACTAGACATTCCAAACAGTTGTGGATAGTATTTATTTTTCTAGCCATGGATGGAGCTCTCCTAAAATTATTGGGCACAAGCTTTCTGCTGGATAAATCATTTCCCATTTAATCATAAAAGTTTGAAACAAGAAGAACATGAAAAAATTAATCATAAATGGGCTTACCTGCTGTTTTTTATGCTTTTAGGTCTTTGGTGAACTTACAGCTTTAGCAGACTAATAATATAAGATAATTTTTATTCATGCTTGCATTTATAAATATATTATGTCAAATTTTATGCAAGTAACTTTGATTAATTGAAGACCAGACCAGAACAGGCTTAAAAAAAAGGCTTTGGCCAAATAATACCAATATAAAATATATATACCTTGAATTCATTTATATATGTTTATTATTTATGTATTGTTTTAGGTTGCCTTTCTTTTGATATAATTAAAATTGCAAAACAAGCTTGTGAAAATGTCTTGGATATACCGTCAAACGGGATACATAATAAGGGACGGGCGGGGTAAAACGGGACAGTCATCCTACATTTTGTAGAAATGTTGTAGCAGCTAAACTAATCAAAATATTGCAAACCTAACCTAAAATAGTGGCATTAAGTTCAACATTTTTACTACCGGTATTTATGTACCGGTATAGGGCAATATTTTTCTCAATAGTTTTAACTACTGGTTGTTCTTGAATTTTCATGCATATGTGATAGATGTAATGCGTATTCTCTATCAATATCCAGGGTTGGTGATTTTTTTTAAATCAAAAATCAATGACTTTTTTTATTTTTTCATATTTTTTCACATAAAAAATTACACGTCTTTTTGAGGTGTAATTTTTTATGTTGCAATTAGCCTACTAACAATAATAGTATATGGATCATAATGTATGGCTAAAAAGGGCACTTATTAAGTTATTGCCTTCAATAATTGCCAACAGGCCAAGGTGGTGTTTACCACTAAGGGATTTTTAGGTAAACAATTATTGACAAGTCTATTCATTAGCTTTGTAAAGTTTGTATGGAGCAAGGTAATGAGCTAAATATTGACTATTTAACTGGCTTCAAGATACAAAAACACTTCAGGAATGCAGACCCCCTAAACATTGAAGAGTCCATAGTGGAAGTCTATGAAGAGAGGTACTTATGTCGGTCCACCGCCGTGCGGCGGTCCGCGGTCTTAACCCTTCGCAAGGCCCCATGCCCTTGGCCCTTGGGCCCCTGTTGCAAGTTGCAATGGTCTAAACTCAACGGTTCGACTCCCATGGTCTCATCACAACTCCCTTTAGAAATACCATGTTTGTTTAGAATTCAAACAATTTGATATCTTACTGCACCACAAGTTAATATATTTAAATAATTAATAATGGAAAATATGTTGCTGGAACACTTTAAGAGACTGTGCCTAAACAGAATACGATATTATTATATAATTAGTCAAGATACTAAATAATAAAGTAGTTCATTTGCCCGCCGCTGCTAGCGCTGGCATCAGTAAGTGAACCTTCTATGAATAATTTTAATTCAACATGGAATTATGGAGATGCAACTTCTAATCTTCTATGATTAATTTGAATCATAAACATTTACGTAATACAAGAAATTAGCAATCAATAATTCAAGGTTATTTTGTAAGTTTTGTACCAACGGAAGACTATGTCTACATTAAATACGTATTGCCAACTTAAGCTAAAAAAAATGCACTGTAACTGCAATCAGCTGCGAGAGAAGATGCCAGAAAGCGCGATGGATTCAATTTAGTCGAATTTGATTTGAAATTGGTCTCAGTTCTTTGCAGTAGGAGCGTAAATTTCAGTGTAAAGCCTATTAAAATTTTACGTTTCTGTGTGGATTTTGATGCTGTTAGCATTGAAATACTTGACAGTATCTCTGATGCAAGAAATACTGGCTAAATACATTTTAATTTAGAAATTAACGTCAATTGAAAATTCGAAATTACTGCTGTCAGGGCTATGTTGGTTCTTGCGAACCGATTGTTGCATCCAGTCGCTTATATTGAAAATAAAATGATTTAAGCAAGTATTTCTTGCATCAGAGATAATTCAAAGCTTGCTAATGTTAACAGCATTACCTATAATACATGCAGAAACGTACATTTTTTTATAGATATTAAAAATTTAGGCTCTATGACTTGTATACTATGTCTATTATAGTCGATAGGATTTCAAATCAATGCATGCATTCAAATTCAAATTAGGTCCACCCACGCCCCGTGGCCAGTGTAGCTGTCAGCTCACCTTTCTTCAGAAGTGTGAAAGCTTTTGCCGGTGAAGGTGTGTTTTACGATCGATCCGTAAAGAAGCGTTGATCAGTTCAAAATGACATAAGAACAGGTTCTTTTGAATAACCTATGGATTGGCACCATGGAAGAGTCACATAACAGATAGGTAGCTGATAGCACAGTGCACAGCACTATCAATAGATCTACTAGTTTTATGTCCTGTAAATCTACCAGACTCTACCTTCTATACACACCGACTAGTAGTGACTGACTGCACTGTTCCTATTTAATTCAGACCAATAAACCAATAATAAACATAAACTGAACGATAACCAAACAAACCTCATACGACTTGAAACGAGACTGAAGTTATGAGAAAAGCTAACACTGTTTGAAATAAACATGTGCACAATTCAAATATTTTATATCCATTCACTGCATTTAATTATTTTATATTTAATCTTATAATTGTAATGGTTTTGTTTCTAGTTTTAAATTCACATATTTACAGATTGAAATTAAATATTTTAATTAGAATACTCGTATTAAGGTGGACAATCTTTCTAATTGCCTAAAAGGTCAATACAATCTCAACCTCTCAATATACAGGGTGGAGCAGAACCGATTAAGCAGTTTTGAGGTAAAATAAAAGAGTAATAGAGGTACATCAAGAAGAAAGTTTATTTTTCTAGAGGTTAGCATAACATACCATTTAGAATACCGGTACTTATGTTTTGAAAACAATATCTGGAAGATGGGGGCTGTTTGCTGCAACACACTTTTGGAGTCGTTCTCGGAGAAGGGAGTAACCATGACAGTGAATTCTGATTGCTATGCTGCAATGTTGCAAAATTTCTTGCAGCCCAGGATGGAAAACATTGTTGAAAATGAAGCATTGAGAGATGTGTGGTTCCAGCAGGATGGGGCTACAGCTTACACAGCTCGAATATCACTCAATGTTTTGAAACGCATGTTTCCCGTAGGTCTGGTGTCTCTGAGGGGTGATTTACAGTGACCTGCGAGGTCACCTGATTTGAGCATTTGCGATTTCTTTCTTTGTTTACATCTAAAAGAAAGGGGTTCAGAAGTTGCCCTCGCACCCTACCACAGCTAAGGGAACAGATTATTGCAGCAGAGGTTATGGCCATACCTCACCATATGTGTGAACGTGCTGTAGGAAACTTCCAAGAACAACTCCAGCAGTGTGATGCAGCTAACAAACCCCATTTTCCTGATATTGTTCTCAAAACATAAGCATTTTAAATGGTATGTTATGCTAATCATGAGGAAAATAAACTTTCTTCTTTATGTACCTCCATTACATACTCTTATTTTGCCTCAAAACTGTTCAATCAGTTCTGCCCCACCCTGTATAAGCTAGCTAACACATTTAAATTGTATATTGTAATCAATATATAACAAATAGTCAAATAGTTAGACTACTTATAGCATTATAAGAATTAGCTAAGCTGCTAGCTACATACAATGTATTGCACTCTTGATGCCTCTGTACCAAAAACATTCAATTTATTGGAACCTAATACACACTAAAGGCAACAAGTTTATATACCAATTTGTCATTCATAGTACATTTATACTAAACCATGAATAACAATACCTCAATATCAATTAAAGACTGCTTATAAATATATGAAAAAATCGAAAAAATAAAAAAAATCATGATTTTTTATAAAAAAATCAAGTGATTTAATCACATGATTTAATCATTTTGATTTAATCATTGCCAACCCTGTCAATATCAATTAAATATTGTAAGATGAATATTAAATTTTTATAAAGAGAAATACGATAGGTTTGTTTCACATACCTTCTGCAAGCCTGTGTGTGTAAGAGAAGTCAAAGCAGAAGAAATTGCTTCCTGTATTTCTTGAACAAATTTCATCACTAAAAAATTGGCGTGACATCATAAAAGGAATAAGGTCATGCCGTACCAAATTATCGTGGATAGTGGTTACAAGTTGAGCCATGGATTGTAGCCGGTAGCGCAGCGTTAATGCCTTGAGATGAAGCCTAGAAATGGGATAAGCGATGAAGCCTTGCGAAGCGTGGTTTGTTGACACCTCTCAGTGTCACCGCGTCACTGGTTGTCTGGTAATTGATTTTTTAGTTAACTGGAGCCTTTGCTTTAGGGGTGCATTTTTTGCATTTTTAGGGGTGTCCCTTATTATGCTAGGGGTTGTTCCTTATTGCCCTGTCATGCGGAAATGGCTGCCATTTTTTTAATGAGATAAGCAAATTCTGCCAATCACGTTTTTAAGCCAGCACATGTGTGCAACTTTTATGCAAGTAAAATTTTTAATACGGCAAATACATATTTTTTTCTACAGACCTTACCAGAGGTTCTTTTCCAAAATTTCCCCTAAACACTTTTTCAGGAAATTTAGCAAATGTATGATTTATTAATGATTTATTAATTTGCTTTATGCTACCGTAAACTGGGGTAACTTTGACCACTTTTTTTTTCAAAATGATGCCATTTTTTTACTAGATAAGTTAAACTTAAATTGAAACATGCAAAATACAGGTCTATACCTGTCTCTTATACACATCTAGATGTGTATAAGAGACAGGGTCAACACAATGTTGCCATACGCCGTGAAAGTTTAGCAGTTTATCCCATCATTTCGTGTGGATTCGAGAACTTTGTGGGTATCGATGAAATCGTGAGAACTTTCTGCGAAAGATGACGTAATTTTTATTTTATTTTGGAACATATTCTTTACAAAAAATTTCTCGATACGCATACACGACTAGTGTTTGCATTTGGGAAGAGTCGCCAACTTTTTATCGGTTTTTGAACCACACGCAAGCGAGATAAAGGAAGCGCGGCTGTCCGGGTGTCCGCAGTTTCTGATCTGACGAGCTCAGTGTAATGAGTATCAATTGTCACTTTGGTGGAAGGTGTAAGGTGGTAAGTTTTCGATACATTTTATTATATTAACATGATAATATATTATCTATACAGAATTCCATACTGTATGACACTTTTCTAAAATTTGTCTTTTGCATATGTAACTAGAAGAGTTCTACTATAATGCATCAAAACCTTGAGTTATTTTACCAAAAAATAAAAAAATTGGAGGGGGTACTCCCACAGGCGTTAAATAATAGCTCTTTTTCGTGGGTCACATTTTTAATTTTTTAACCTATTAGATATGCAAACTTTTTAAATCTTTCTATTGTGTTACGTAGCCTCAGTATTAGGCCTTTGATGGCCATTGACAAAATTTTTCTATGTCGAATCGTTTTTGAGTTTTGGGAGTTTTTGTTAAAAAAACGAAAAGTGGTCAAAGTTACCCCGCCGGTCAAAGTAACCCCATTTTACGGTAGTGTTCAATATTCGTTAGTGTTCTAATTCAAAGCCGTGTTGTATCCCAATACAGCTCACACAGCAAACGGAATTTGAATACGTTGATGTCGGCATTATGTATCAGTTAAATTTGAAGCGCTGACGCAATACGACTCACCACGTGTCGAATATTGCCACACACAGTGACGGAATATAGGGTTTTGGTAGGTTTCCATTCTAAAGGCTTTTTAATAAATATGGCAACATTTTGTGACGTTTCATCGTTGCTGACGCGTAGTGAAGTGTTTTGAGAGTCACGTGAACGTGAAGGCAACAGAACTTACGTAACGCATACAGTTTTTTTTATAGTTTTTCATTTCTCAATGCGTCCTTAATGTGTCGGAATATACCGCATTTACCCTAAACGTACAAAAAATCATTTCATATGGCAAAGACTTTACATTTTCACTGTGATTCACTTAAATTGTTTGACTTAAAATCTTAAATTGTCTCAAAAAATCCAGTTGCGGCTCACCAAGTAGATATATTCCATGCCTGAATTTCTGATGAGAGTATATACTATTATATATAATAGAACAATAGAGAGTCAACAAAAAGTCACTCGTTTGTACAAATAGCTACAAATAATACAATGGTACAAATTACAATTTTACGTTATAATAAGGTAAAACATAGGCTAAAACTGTGGTCATAGTGGCAAACCAGTGATTTTTAAGAATCAGTTCATTTTTAATTTCCTCATTTACTCAAGATTTTAACAGATTTCTTATGTATGCTAATTCTGGTATCCAAGATACTTTACTAGTCTACTTATAGGAGTGAAAAATGAACTTGAGGAAAAGTCTAAAAAACTCTCTGCTTTGCCACTATGACTGTGGTTAGTGTCAAGATGTAGGTATTGTCTTTTGGCACTTTTGCATTGCAATGAATAAAGGTTCCTTGATAATAAGTTGATATATAACTATTAAGCTAACTAACAAGACCCAGTAGGCTACCCACCTTGTAAAGAATCCAGTGAACTGATTGAAGTATCCTTTCTGGATTTAGCTACATTTTCTTTTTGAGGATTATTACTGGACGTTTTCAACTTGGTTTTTGCAGTATTTTTTGTTTCATTTTTAGCTTTCAGACTATTTTTGAGCTTTTTCAACTTCATGTTAGTGATGTTACTGATTTTATTTAAATTCAGATTAGAAATTTTCTTTTTGCATTCAACTTGGGGTTCAGGCATGTTGTTTTCAATCTTGAGCGGTGCGGTTAGAATAACAATTTAGACAATTAAGATGTAGGCTAATAACGAATTAAACGACTGAGCGCTCACTTCACAAATCACAATAGCCTGATAGGAACAATTTTCATGCGGCACAAATTAATTTTAGTTGTAACTTGTAAGTTTGACTTTGATTAATGTTGGGGTTTCGATTCAGCTGGCGAAATATGAAACAACTTGAATTGTTCGTCGTTTATTTTTATAGCTTTTAGCACGTTAGGAGTTAGGACTAATAGGAGCTCTAGAAGCTGGTAGCCTGCTGGTACATGTAAACAATTTGAATCCTTAACACGTGTTTTACGTAGTTCAAACCTATAAACTATGCTCTATCCGCAATTTTATCAAATGAGCACAAGATAAAGTAAAATAAATAAAAAACATGACAGTTACAGTCCAAATTTGAATCCATTAGAATGATTTTGTTGCGGTGAAAAGTTAATCAAAAAACCAAAGCATGCTGAAATTTGATTGATTGATGCCGGTTTGGAGGTGAAGAAGAAGTCATGCGTCGACCGCTTGTAACACCTGGACTCAGCAATGATTATTTAAAACATTTCTTCATCTTTCATTTTCAATTTAATTCCTCTTTCCATTGGTGCATGCTCTCCACGTTGTCGTTGGTTTCTCATGATGTGTAGCGATGANTCATTTTCACAGAAATGTCTGAGTTGCGAATCGGTCATTGTCAACTCTGATGCGTTTGGTGAAGCACCAGGATCAATGAGATCTTGACCCTCAGATGAATTAATCATTGAGGTATCGTTAGTCACTTTCACAAATCACAATTTAATAGGGAAACAGAGAGGTTTGCAGGAACGCCCTCTTTCGACAACGGTTCAAGCTTCTCTCGTCTATTTGAGTGTTTCAACTCTACACAAACGCTCAAAAACACCCACCAAGCGCATGCACGCTTATCTACGGGCAGATTTCCTAAATCTCAGACCCGCATGCTGAAATTTAAATATTAAATTAATACCGCTAAAACTTGATTTCTAAGAAATAAAAACGTTTCATAGAAGTTACGTATATAATGAATTTTTGCTCTACTTTTTATTCCGATTTATTATTTGATACACATATCGGACACTTCTCCGGCCGGACTTGCGGCCGGTTTTCCTGCTGGTCTCTAAGGTTCAATGAGCCTAAGATAACTTTCAAACTAATGAACGCAGCTTGATGAAACATGACTTCAGTTGGATCTAACAGTAATGGTTAGGTCGTGACCATTCTTTGATTCCGCTTTCGTTTGCGAGTTGGCATGAGACACGAACGAATCATATCATAGCCTATATGATTTACTTTTAATAATAATAGCGGTTCGGCCGGTTTCAGCGTTTAGTAGGCAGTAGGCCTGTCGCCGATTCTTAACGTCGCAGAACATTCACTGCATTTTGCGGTCTCGAACTCACAACTCACTGCTACAATTCTGCTATGCTTAACCGCCCGGCCTCCTCGCCGATTCTGACCAGAAACTGTCGCACAGAGCTGGGATCAACCCGCACCTCTCTGCGCCAATCTTGCTACTCTGCTGAACTCCGAGAGTAGCAGAGAACCACTGGGCCACCCTTTTGATCGAATAGGAGCATCAGTTATCATCATCAAAGATTATTGTAAGATCAATATGATTTTAAAGATCATATTTACCATCTTGGCATAACAATTTAGTTGTACGGTTAATTAAGTGAAAGATTCTATTCTGTATGAATGCATATTTGTTCATCAATTTTGCAGTAATTCTCTAATCATCTATTTACCATTTTATCCCCCAGTTCAATAAAGGTCCAAATAGGAGCTAAATTTGAGATCCCATATTTTTTAGTTATTTTCCCGTCTTCATTTCTGCTCCTAAGTCTTTATTTTTATCAGGCATTTGTGGTATTTATCATAGTCGTCACGGCGTGGCTCCGAACAGTCATTCTCTTCAACTACAGTAACACGCAATTTGGCATGATAAGATAGTTTTTAATATATGCCCCGTCATTATTCAATTTCAAATTGTTGAAATTCTGTACAAGATTTATCATTATTGCCTGCATCTACACTATTGTAATGAATCTGCAAGTGACCGCATGTTAACTTCACACTACGACTCAATGGTGATTCAATAACTTTATTAATAAAACAAAAATAAACAGTATTCGTTTTAATTCACTGCACTTATTTGATTTTCAGATGTCATATTTTAACAATTTTGTTAAAATATGATGGTTTAGTAGTTGTACGACTAAATTGCGAATTTCAATTTCATGGAACCGAAAGACTTCCGAACTTTCGCGAGTAAAAGTTTTCCCCGAAAAATGGAACAGCTGCGACTTTGATTAATAAAATATGATTTGTATTCAAATTTCGGAGTCAATTTTAAATAGAAATCATTCTACTGAATTAGTGTTATACTGAGGGAAGTAGCTGATGTTTTCGGAATCTTGAGCTAGGTGGACTCCGCCGAGCCAAATAAAAAAAAAGCAAAAAATTTATCGCATTGATCTAGCTTATCCTATAAATCCTCTTGTGACTCAACCCTGAAAATTGTTTTTCGTTCTAACAGTAATTTTGGCAAAGGAAAAAGTCGCAAAAGTTTCAGCCATTCGCTAAATACGCGGTATTTAATTTGTCTTGACAGAAAACAGTTTAATTTAGAATTCTAAATAAGAAACTTAAAAATAAGTCAAATAAGTAAAGGTGAGGAGTTATGCGCTCAGAAGAGATTGAACGCCACGTTCGAAGGCTGCAAAACAATGTCGCTTACACGTGCTAACTTAGTAATAGTAATCATTACGAGGGAAAATTGCGGTCTAATTTTCGAGTATTTGTACAAGTTGACTCGAATATCTCTATCCCACACCAGCGTGTCGTTTCAAAGGAAACTGAACGCAATTTCTGAACGAGCTTGGGCTCCAAGCGGCGGTGTGGATGAACGTCAGACTGAGATGCCCCAGGGAAATCATGAGCCCTCCAGGGCTCAAAACACCTTTAAGGTATAGTGCCACGGGAGGGGGGGGCTGGAGTCATTGCTTCAGTCACGACTATAATACTCAGGGAGATGTGTGAGACTTTGTCCTAAGTGTCGTTTCTGTGATCTGTGCACTTTTTGCCGTTGATTAGATCATATTGACCCAATTTCGCCCGGTAAGAGAAGTTAGTTATTAGCACACTGACAATCCACTCGCCCACCCACCTCATTCAGACGTTCATAGTCTCGCCAGACACTGCGAGGTATACGTAACCGATACATTTTTTAGCTCAGATCAGTGGTACGTTCAGTGAATGTGCCGCTGTTTGGACAATATGATCCATTCATTTCTTCAGTTACAGCATCGAATTTCAGTCGAGTTTATGTTTTTGAGTATTCAATTGAAGAAATAGGTAAGTATTAGCAGCTCACAAGATGACCGACAAATTTCCGCTTAAGGCCTATATATTAGAAACCTTTCTAAAGCACTTTACGTATGCAGTTCAGAATCACGGGTAGGAGCAATTCAGAAGCAAAATTGACCAGAAAGGCATTAAAATTTTCATGAACGGAAAAAATTCGATGAACTGAATTAAATAATTACGAACTAATCTATTGAAGATTTTACGCGAAATATGATCTATATAAAGGCCTAATTTTATTTATTCCAATGTGAGTTGGTTACATCCATTGTTGGAGGATATCTTTACATTAAATAAAATTCGACATCTAGATAATTTCTATTAATAATAATAATAATAATAGCGGTTTCAGCGTTATTAGGCCGTAGGCCTGTCGCCGATTCTTAACATCGCAGAACATTCACAGCATTTTGTGGTTTCGAACTCGCAACTCACTGCTCCAATTCTGCTGTGCTTAACCGCCCGGCCTCCTCGCCGATTCTGACCAGACACTGGCGCACAGAGCTGGGATCGAACCCGCGCCTCTCTGCTCCAATCTTGGTACTCTGAACTTTAACCACTGGGCCACCACTATTGTGAAATTTAGTTAATTAAAATTTAGTAGAATCTCCCACAAGTGTGAGATAAGCTAAAAAATTTATCGGTTACGTATACCTCGCAGTGTCTGGCGAGGCTAAGAACGTTTGAATGAGGTGGGTGGGCGAGTGGATTGCCAGTGTGATAATAACTAACTTTTGCCTTATGCTCAGCTATTACGTATATGTAGGGCAATTGCGAGATGTCATCCCGTCGAATACACCGTTGCTTTGTGCGGAAATGAGTTCCTATGAATTAGTGAAGATTAATATTTGGATATAAATAATCTCTTAGTACTAGAACAGTGAAGAGATCCTTGAATTTTTTGTACCCATACCAGAGTATTGCACACTAAAGAGCAGCAGTATGTTTAGTATCAACAATAGCTCTAATGATACTAAAAAATAGCTCTAATGATAGCTCTTTAATACTAAATAGCTCTTATGATAGCTCTCTAATACTAAATAGCTCTAATGATAGCTCTAGTACTAGACCTCTCAGTATGGTGCCTCGATTGATGATCCTGTAATATTTCGCGCTAACATTCAATTGAAGGTTACTTTAATCGTCTGACACTCAAGATAATCGAAAAGAATGCTCAATGTGTGTGTATAGTAGCAAGGCAGCCTTATTATATATTGATGCGCAACAATTTCCTCACAGTTTCTGCAAGCGTTTACATAATAAATGCCTCTCTCGCGCACACGAAGCGAAATTTTATTGTAAGAAAAACTTTCGACTGGAGCTGCGGGGTATCGATCCCCGTACTTCTCGCATGCTAAGCGAGCGCTCTACCATTTGAGCTACAGCCCCATCTATTGATATGTAATTCGATATTTTATATGAAAAAGTTAATTGTGGCGTGATTAGTTTTAATGGACATGTTTAGTATATTGCTTTTACTCAAATAATTAGCCGAGCTGATCACCGGAATTTTTATCCTAGAAATTTGATTCATTTTCACAGAAAATATCAAGTACAATGTGATTTAAAAACGATAATGTATAGTCGTATCTAATAATAATCTTCGAATTAATCTTTTATCTAACTCAAACAATACAAGTAGAAATGAAGACGTAATAGATTTAAGAGGAGTTATTTATTGTGTTCGTCACTCCTACAATGCCAAAAGCAGCTGAACAGGAGATATAAAATGTACATCAATGATATGAGAATAACTAACAAAATTGACGCAAATAAGTATAGCCGTTTAAAGTAGAATCTTTCATTCACAATGACCTTAGAACTAAATTCTTTTTGATTGTCAGTAAATCACTGAGCAATGCATGAAGATCGAAAGAGGACAAATATACAAGCTTTAAATATATATGCGCCATATATAGTCTTTAATAGCCATAATCGATATAGGCTTCAATTAT